TTACAGGCTGGGTGAACACATAGTTGGGATGGAAACCAGGGAGACAAGAGTGATTGACTACTTTTCTGTGAGGGCACACTGAGAGGTAGGGGTGCAACCTTTCAGCTACCCAGCTGGAGACGGGGTGCAGCCATTTCCATCCCCCCATTAGTGCTAAAAGCCTTCAGGGAGCAAAACAGCATCACATAGTACAATCTGGAGCCACTTACACTGAGCCAGCATGGCAAGGGGGGTGCAATTCCACCTGAGCAAAGACCCCTGAGTCAACCCAACAGGCACGTCCCCCAGAAGACCAGCAGGAACAACCAGGTAGCACCAAGTTTACTGATCATAGAGAGATGCAAAACTCCAACTCTCGGGGAAAATAGTATATAGCATTCAGGGTTTTCTTATTATTCCTTAGTTTTTCAGTTTTACATTTTTTTCTTTTCAACTAATTTCTTATTTTATCAATTCTTTTTTTGTCTTTTTCAATTTTTATTTTTATATTTACATTATGTATATTTTTGCATTTTTGGTTTCCTTTTGCATTTTGGTTTCTTTTTTTTTTTTTTTTTCCTATTTTGGTATCTAGTTTCTTCTAACAAACAAACCAAAATACTGCCAGGATCTAGTTTATTCTTGTGTTCTGTTCAACTTCTGGCTTGATTTCTCTCTCTCTCTTCTGTTTGTTTCTGTTATCCCCCAATTTGTTTAGTCTGTATTTTTCTGGTGTTGTTGCTATTTTTGTATTTTCTCGCTCTTTCATCTATTATTTTCTGGACATAATGATGAGATAGAAAAACTCACCCAAGAACAAAGAATAAGAGGCAGCACTCAATACCAGGGGTGTAATCAATATGGATACAAGTAAGACATCAGAACTAGAATTCAAAGCAACTATTATAAAGATACAAGCTGAACTTGGCTAATTGAATTTAAATTTTTTTTAAATGATACAAACTGGGCTTGAAAAAAGCATAGAAGACACTAGAGAATCCCTTACTGGAGATTTTGTCTGTCAAAAGACAACTGACAGAATGGGAGAAGATATTTGCAAATGTCTTATCAGATAAGGGGCTAGTATCCAAAATCAATAAAGAACTTACCAACTCAACACCCAAAGAACAAATAATCCAGTCAAGAAATGGACAGAAGACATGAACAGACATTTCTCCAAAGACATACAAATGGCCAACAGACACATGAAAAAATACTCAACATCACTTGGAATCAGGGAAATACAAATCAAAACCACAATGAGATACCACCTTACACCAGTCAGAATGGCTAAAATTAACAAGTCAGGAAACAACAGATGTTGGTGAGGATGCAGAGAAAAGGGAACCCTCTTACACTGCTGGTGGGAATGCAAGCTGGTGCAGCCACTCTGGAAAACAGTATGGAGGTTCCTCAAAAAGTTGAGAATAGAGCTACCCTACGACCCAGCAATTGCACTACTAGGTATTTACCCAAAGGATACAAACATAGTGATCCAAAGGGGCAACTGCACCTCAATGTTTATAGCAGCAATGTCCACAATAGCCAAAATATGTAAAGGGCCCAGATGTCCATTGACAGATGAATGGATAAAGGTGTGTGTGTGTGTGTGTGTGTGTGTGTGTGTCTGTATGTGTGTGTGTGTGTAATAGAATATTACTCAGCCATCAAAAAATGAAATCTTGCCATTTGCAATTACATGTATGGAACTAGAGAGTATTATGCTAACCAAAATAAGTCAATCAGAGAAAGACAATTATCATATGATTTCACTCATATGTGTGATTTAAGAAACAAAACAGGATCACAGGGGAAGGGAGACAAAAATAAAATAAGATGAAATCAGAGAGGGAGACAAACCATAAGAGACTCCTATCTATAGGAAACAAACTGAGGGTTGCTGGAGGGGAGGCGGGTGGGGCGATGGGGTAACTGGGGATGGGCATTAAGGAGGGCACCTAATGTAATGAGCACTGGGTGTTGTATGCAACTGAGAATCACTAAACTCTTCCTCTAAATCTAATAATATGCTATATGTAAATTCAATTTAAAGGAGGAAATCGGAGGGGGAGACGAACCATGAGAGACGATGGACTCTGGAAAACAAACTGAGGGTTCTAGAGGGGAGGGGGGTGGGAGGATGGGTTAGCCTGGTGATGGGTATTAAGGAGGGCACGTTCTGCATGGAGC